GGCTCAGTGATACCAATCCCATCTAAACTGGCTCATCTGGTGGATTTTTTAAGGCCAGTAAAACTTACTTGTATCTTTAACGAGTTGTGGTTTGATACTATAAATGGGAAGGCTTACTAAAGATGCCGGCGAAACGCCTAGAAATGTACCAATTGCATGGTTTGATGATGGAAATTATCACATCTATCGTCCACAGTTGGCTCACACAACATTGGTTTAATCAAGGAGAGGACCCGTGAAGGGAAGGCCTGATATCCGCAAACATGGGAATCAGAGCTTAGGCGCTCTGCTCAGTGAAGCGGCAGTCTACGTGCTTCTAGGGCCTTGAGAAATAGCGCCTGAAGTGAAATGAACGCTGGGACCGGAACCGAGTGAAATGGGTCAGCCAGAAATAGAAGGAACGGATCTACAAAACAATGGAGGAATCCGGATTAGATGCCCGAGTCGGATCAGCCGATCGAAAGAGGTATCTGGGTGAATAGCAAGTGTGATGAGGCCACACTAGATTTGTCACAAAAGGACACATTTCGACGAGTGGAACGTAAACAAGTTAGAAGTTGTGATAGGGCGGCAGTGGGATAAGAGGGTAAAGAGTCGATATATGGGCCAAGACAGAAAGAGAAGTGATAGTGTAACCGTTTTCGACAGAACGTTTGTCAAGGAATTGACTTCACTTGTCTCCTCGACGAGTTCGTAGCTTGGTGTGGAGAATGGCAAAACTCACTGATGATGCCGACTATGATGTCGGCGAAACGTTTGAGAATGTACCAAGTTCATTGTCTGATGCTGGGAATCATGCCAACAACTATGGCAGACGACTTCGGACTAGGTGCGTTTTACTAAGTCGCCCTGACAACAAGACCAAGTTGCGACGAGGTCAACCCACTTCTATAAAGTTTACTCTTTAACGAAGATTAATTGGAAAGTATGGAGACCAAGATGGTGTGGCCTTTTGTGTGGTCGCAGTCTCCTTTCGATGTATAGAGGTTGTTTGACCTTGTTTTCGCAACATGGTCATATTGGTAGAAAGACATATTGGAACGCACATAGTCCGGGATCCATTGTCTGCATGATCATTTCCAAAGTTAAGCCGTGGACTTGGTACATTCCCAAACGTTTCTTTCATCGTAGTCGCGGCATCGTCAGTGAGTATCGCCATTCTTAGCACCACACAACAACTCGTCAGAGACAAGTGAAGCCAATCATTTGACCAGACTTGTGCTAAACAATTGTGGTATCTCCCCTTCTGCCCTGGGTTATTCGCATTTCCGGTGGCCTCCTATCATGCCTTCACTATTACAATTTTTAACGTGTTTATTTAGATATAGTGTGGTGTGCTCCTTTGAGCGACATGAAGCCTTCACACTCCAACTGTCGTTCCCTCCCCTTCATCCTTGTGCAGGGAATGTTGATCAGAGTCTGCTTTATTATTATTATGCAGTCCTCTTCCCTAGTCTTATCCCAGTCTATCTCTTGCTCCGTTTTCGCAACTTGTTCATATTGGTTGGAAGACTTAGAGGAACACACCTGCTAGAGGTAATGGAGCGAGAAGAGGATATTCTAGAGGTAGATCGGTTACTAAACGAATTGTTAACACGACTGATCAACCTAACAGTGAGGATCACATATTTTACATTTAACGGCAGTAGCTACGATCAAATATTTGGACTACCGATGGGATCTCCACTATCACCTCTTTTGGAAAATGTGTACATGGACAAGTTGGAAAAGAGATTCGTGAAGTCACCTCTGCAACCAAGAGAGCTTATGCGATACTTGGATGACTACTTTGCACTTTGGTCACATGGTAACGAAAATGTAAATGAATTCCTCAATTTCATTAACAAACTTGATGAAAGAATTAAATTCACAATGGAGGTGGAGGAAGATGATCGACTACCCTTTCTGGATATTAGAGTCATGCGCTCCAAATGGAAACTCATGAGGAGATTATACAGAAAGAATTCATATGCGGGAATAATCCTTAATTTTCAATCTCATCATAACTACAGACTGAAGATCGGAATACTGAGGAGTTTGATCATTAGAAGCTTACGACTAACAGACACTGAGCTCTGGGATGAGGAGTTGGACAAACTGACACAGATTTGTCTTAGTAACGGATACCCCAGAGAATGTATAGAAAAAATGTAGGCGTTATAAAGGGCAGATTTCAACTCGGATTTTATGAAAATCAGAGCATGAATCAGGAGGACGACCAGAAGTAGATTTGCCTGCCCTCATCAGAACTGAGCCGACAATTGCGACCTTTATTAGGAAAATGGAATATCAAGGCGATAAGAAAGGAGAAGAAAACACTTTTCACAAGTCTGCCGACGCAACACGAGAAGACAGACAAACTTGATTCGTTATCTTGAATTTTGTTGTGACGATGTTACCTCGCTCTGATGATGTCCTTTATATGATGGAGTAGAAACAGGAAGAAAAATCGGCCTACAAGTCAAGAAACATCAAAGATTGTGCACGAACATCGATACGAAAAGATCCGAAATGGCGGAACAGGGCACGAAATCGACTGGAAACCGACCGAAAGGTTGTCTGCATATGGTTACGAAAACAAGGTCAAACACTTCTAAACGATACTCAGTTTATGCGTCCATTCAAGTGTAGAAGATGTTTAAAATGAGCCCTTGCTGCATCGATTAGACTCGTTAGAGGACACCACTTTTGACTGCAAGTACATTTCTACCTCATTTGTGAAAATGAGTCATCCACACTCTTTGCTCGCGTCGCTTAATAAAGCTGGCCTCAAGATCGAGCCTAAGTATGGACCTATCAGTACGAGACCTTATGAACCAATCAGAAGCTGACGTTTAAATTGCGTAATTCAATTGAACAATAGGAACTGTGGTCACCGCGACTTGTCATTGCGGCCGGCGTCGTCTGCCCTTCTCTAACCCTTTCTTAGGTCAATTCTTTGCCTGAAGCTGCGTCTGTTGTTCAATCTACAGCCTGAAGCCGCCTACTGTCACATCATCAACTTAACAGTTCTCCTCCTCAATGTCGCACGTGTGCATCTTCATGTGTCTCTACAAATGTCTGTCACAATCTAGCACACTGCTCTTCCCCTTTTCTGCATTTGCGATGGTACACGTCGGGCCGCGTTCAGCCGGCGTCTACGCTCCAGGCGAAGTCCTTCAACGACCACTTTTCGATGCGTCCGCAGCTTCAGCACAATAAATGCCTCTTAAAAACAATGCCATCTTGCCGCAGAGCTGACTTCAAATCCTCCTCACCTGCCGCCCATTCATTTGCGTCTTCCGCGCGATCTACACAACGCCAGCGGGTTATTTTGCTCACCTAGCTCCAGTATCCCTGTTCCCCACTGTCCTCCCATTCGCCCAACCCTCGGCACGAACAGATATACATACTCTTAGCTTTGGACACCATTTGATCCATGTAATGGCACATTTGCGGTACAGCTCCCGAGGCATAAATCATTCGACATGGAGTCGAATCATTACAAAGCAAATCCACTTTGGCATGACAAGCGCAATCAAATGCAGCATCTACTCTTATTTTGGCGTTGAAAGTGGTCTGATTCCGCCCCATTATCATCGGCAGCGACGGACAGGCGAAGAGGCCCCCGAGGCTCTCGCTGGCGAAGTAGCCAGGAGGCGGCGTCGCGACGGGGTTGCCAGCGGCGGTTGTCCCTGACGCGGTCTGGGGTGAGGCCGTCGCCTCGGCTCGAGGCGCCTTAGCGTACAGCGAGGCCAGGTCGTTTGCACTAAGAGAGCCGGAGATGCTGCCAACAGGCGAGCGCAGGCCGAGGCCGGCCGCCAGACCGGCTCCAGCCTCGGCTGTGGCGGACCGACCTCCAGATGGACCGGCGTCGTCTGCGCCCGACTGACCGGTTGGACTGTTGTTTGAGTTGCCGTCTCCACGTCCTCCGGCCGCGGATTCGCCGAGGCCGTGATGATGCCTCATCGAGGCGTCACTGCTGCTGGTGCTCCTGTTGAAGGGTCTGGCCGTCTGTGCGGCTGGAGTCGCGGAGCCGGGCTGGCTGGAGGGTGTGTTGGTGCCGAAGGCGGGCGAGGCGGCAGATGTGGTGTTGGAGAGGCCGGAGTAGCGGCCTGCAGGTGGCGGAGGCAGGGGAGGCGGTGAGATGGTCTGCCCTGCAGTCTGCCTGGCACCGGCCAGCAACAGGCTGTTGCCACGACGAATCGGCCTGCCGCTTACTCCGATCGGGCAGAGTGGAGGCTCGTCGGAGAGGGCGGCCGTGGCGCTGCGTGACTGCACGGGAGGCGGGAGAGGCGGAGGAAGCTGATGGGGCTGCTGCAGGGTCGGCGTGAGGCGTCCCACGACGACGGCCGGCTGAACGGGCAGAAAGGGCGACTGTGGCAGGGCTGGCGGAGGGGAAGAGGAGTAGTGGGGCGTCATCTGGTGTGGAGGCGTGTGATAATGCTGATGATAGTGGTGCTGCTGCTGCTGCTGCTGTTGCTGGTGTTGATGTTGATATTGATGCTGATGCTGATGTTGATGTTGATGTTGATATTGGTGATGTTGGTGGTGGCGGGACAAGGTGCTCTGGCCAGAGCCAGAGCCGCAACTGGCCAGGAGCCCGTTGGACGAGGCCAGATAAGCGCTCAACGCTCCCACGGCGGCCACGCCGCCCCCGGCGCTGCCCGATCGATGCATCATGACGGGCTGGTGTGGCAAGCCGGCGGCCGAATGGAGAGGCGGTGGTGGCGGCGGCG